GGTTAAGGCAAAATGGCAAAATTGTATTCATAGTTAGAATTCATTATTCACAGCTGAACTGCTCTGTCCAGAAATATTGCCTGTGTTAGCTCCCTTAATCCAGTTCAGTTTGTTTTAGGGGTGTAAATGTTATACCAGCTTATACCTAGTAAGCGTGCAAAACCCTGAAAATTGCTAAAATGAATCCAAACAAAGCACAAAGACTTCTGGCAGACTGCGGTAGCACTATTCCATCAATTATCTTAGTTATCACACATTTCAAGTATGATTCCAGATTTGTGGAAAAAGTGATTTGCAGATCTAACTGCTGTTTTAAAGGAAAGATAATGATGATGAGATTAAGGTGGTTTCAGTAACAGGATTAGACAAGAGGAGAGACTGAATAACCTGCCAGGTAAAAAAAAAAAGAAAGAAAGAAAAAAGGAGAGGGACAAGAGAAAAAAGAAGAAAAAAGGGCTGTCATCTCTATCAGCTAATCATGCTCGCTGTGAATAAATAAAATGGCAGTTATTAAGCAGTGTTACAAATGACAAACGAGAGAAAACACAAAAGGGGGAAAGTGTTTAAAGGAGAAGTACCGTTTGAGTTGTTAATTACATACCTGCGGCTGAATCGCATTGTTGTTAATCAGCGCTATTAATGAAAGTGCGGGTTGTGGTGTTATGGTGTTTTTTGTTTTTTTAGATCTGTTGAGAGGTTTGACACACTGTCTCCCTGCTTTACCTTCTCTAATTATTTCATTATTCACCTGCTGCTACATCAGTAAACAAAGCTGTTTTTGTGACAGGATGACTAATGGTAGAGGTCTTGTGTCTGTGTGTGTGTTTGTGTGTATGTGTGTGTGCAGATCTGTCCTATCCAACCACCCCAACACACACACACATGCACAAGCACTGTTAGAGGAAATCACTGATATGTAAACACCGATACATACGAGCCAGGTTTAGATGGTGAACGTGTGTTAAAGTAATATTCCTTCAGTATTAAGTATGTTTGTAGCTTTGCTGGTGTGTGACCTGCACTCCCACTACAGTGTATTCTGGGTAAGTGGAGTGATGTCTTCACAGCCAGAAGCTCCCAGCTCACGTGTCTGTGGGTTTATGTTTTCCTGGGAACTGGTGTTACAGCTTCTACTTCTATGAACGTCAGCTCCTCCCCGGCTATATTCTGCAGCCACGTGACTCCTGCTGCTCCTTACTTCAGTGCATGCAGCCCCCTCTCTTTGTCCTCATTTTGTTGTCTTCCCCTAACTTGACCTCCCCCTCTGTAGTGCTGTTTATCAGCAGGCTCCAACACACTACTCATTTATATGTCACATTGAAATCTCCATCTTTGTTTTTTTCCTTGTATTTTCTACAGTTTTGTTTCACTTTTTTCAAGAACTTTATTCTTAAAAATCAAATTAATTTCAACATGTTTCAAATTTTACTCTTGGAAGTCAACACCACTATCTATACGATTATTACATAGGCAACACAAGGGGACAAAGACAGTGAAGACAGAATCATAAAAAGTTTAAAGAGAAATTCAATTTGAGTCTAAAGGCGCAATAAACATGTCATAGAATGAACATGAAAGGCGGTAAAAAGTTTATGTTCTGTTTTAATGCTTTTTAAGACTTGCATAAGTAGCGGGGTGTTTGTCATATGTGCACTGCGAAAACAGTGAATAAAAAAAAATGAAAACCTTTTAAACACAAAGAGAAAAAGAAATATTAACCATTAAGCCAAATGAGTTGACTTGATGAAAATACAATACTTTAATCAATGCACAGATGAATGGGGAATTAAATTAAATGAAAAACATCAAGCGATTTATTAAGTTAGTGGGCCACAAAAACAGCTTTAGTGATTCTTGTCATTGATTCTTCAAATCTCTGGAAACCCATACAGTGATGGGTGGAGCACCATTCCTCCAAACATTTTTCCTTTAAATGGTGTTTTCGTGATGATTGTGGGCAATTGTGCTAGTTTACATGCTGGTTCATAAGGGGGGAGATTTGCTGTCTATCATTTTAAAATCATCCACCCCACAAAATCTATAAATAGAGGCACTGTCGTCCAGAAAGTCTTGGTCTTAGTCAGACTTTAGACAAAGTTGCATTTGGAGAAAAAAAAGACTGTTGCTGGTATTATTTTGGTCACAGTTGCCAGTAACTTTTTGTTACACTACTCCTGCATATCTCTCAGAGGAAAGCCAGATGGTGGATGTGCTGGAAAAATTCCGATGGCAGAGAATGTTTCATCTTGGCAGTATTAAATGCATCAGTCTTTTCACAGCCTCTTCAAATGTACGCTGTTCTGTCATTAATTCTTTTTGCCATTAACACAGTAATTTGAAAATTCTTGAGGCGTGTGTGTGTGTGTGTGTGTGTGTGTGTGTGTGTGTGTGTGTGTGTGTGTGTGTGTGTGTGTGTGTGTGTGGCTGTGGCTGTCCCTGCAGACCCATTCAGCCAATAGCTGCACAATGCAGAGTGTGACTGTCAATGCCTTTTGCTAAATATGCTAATAACCCAACACCTGTTTGTATAAGAGAGAAAAATACACACTTCACCTCTCTGTCGAGCACACAGTCAAAGACTCCCACAGAAGACACAGGCAAAGAGATTTTTAAGCTTATTTGAGGTTGGCTTTTTTATGGATCTGTGCTTAGAGTATTTATGCTGACTTTAATGTCTTTTTGAATTTTTGTGACCAAGACAGCATGGAGCCGCAGTGGTAACCTCTACTGTCTTTTCTCCTTAGTGATGGAGCCCATGACGGTGACGACGTCAGTGGTCGGGCCGGAGGAGTTCGATCGCAATGCCCCCAGGATCTGTGGCGTCTGCGGGGACAAGGCCACCGGCTTCCACTTCAATGCCATGACCTGTGAGGGCTGCAAAGGGTTCTTCAGGTGAGTTTCATACTTCAGTTGATGTTTTTGCATGTTGCCTGTTTTGCGTTTTGGTGTATGTTTCTGCTGAGTGTAGGGTGTTTCTGGGTCCAGGCAATGTGAATACATCCTGCTGGGTATTTCAGTCTCTGGTTTGGGGGTTTGTTTGCCCCCTTAATAATGTTGTTTGCACATTTCTGCCAAAAGGACCATTAATCAAGTTAAAATAGTGAAACTTAGAAATAAGAAGTTTGAGATAAGAAATAAAAGCTGTTATGTTTTTACTTTCAAACAGCAAAGGGACCTTCTGTTGTATACTTCTGGGTCTTGCTAGTTTAAAATAAATGAAGTTGTATATTCAATAGCTTATGGGAAAAGAAAATGATCATTCTGTTTATTGAACATTGCCAATCTGAGTTTACATCATAACTGTAGATATTACTGCCTGCATGTTAATGAAGAGTGCATTATTGTTGACACTGAGGTATAGTTTGTCTGTTTCTGCCTGGCTGCATGACAACGATTGCAGTGCTTTCAGAAGATTATAAATTATTCAGTGTTCACCACAGTCCTGTTATTTTTCATTTTCTTCCTCATCTCTCTTCTCCTTTTTCTTGCCCATTACTCAAACAGTGATATTTTAATGTATGTATACTATTCAGCCACAGTGTGAAAATCACTGACAGCTGAAGTAAATGACCGTCTTGTTACAATGGAAAACGTTGCCTGTTGGTATTTATGTGGATGTTACTTTGTTGCGCACCACCCACTTAAACACTGTTGCTAACCAACACCCATTGTTACACAAGCTGTGGCTTCCCCACAAGGTGCCACACCAAACCACAAAAACTGCTCGGAAACAACTCAATTCATCTGTATTGTGTTTCTTATCTTTGTCTTCAAACTCAGACCTTAATCTCATCACAGAAGTATGTAACCCACACGACTTAAGAGACCAAATGTCCCAGTTTCAGAAATGTTGTGAAACTAAAAGGATTTTTTTAAATTCATGTCCCAGCAAATCATGTTTTTGGCACCACAGAGTATATCTGTACAGTATAAAATGGATTTAATCTTTTGGCTTAGGCCTTCTCTTTTTAACTTTAAAATTTTGGATGTCTACATTTCAGTAGTATGTACAGTTCATCTGTTGCTGGGTTATCACCAGAAATGCCTGTTTTTAGTAGTATATCGCTTATGTTATAAATAATAAATGATCCCAAATGAGTAACTGATTCTTTGTGGTTCTTCATAGGCGCAGCATGAAACGTAAAGCTTCCTTCACCTGTCCATTTAACGGGAGCTGCACCATCACTAAGGACAACCGGCGTCACTGCCAGGCCTGTCGTCTTAAACGCTGCATTGACATCGGCATGATGAAAGAGTGTAAGTTGATATTTATGACCTCTAATAGTCTAACAGTACTTATGTTGTTGGTGCCATTGCTTGACATGTAAAACATGACTAAAGTATCTTGTATGTAAGTGATCCTTTTTTTAATGATTAGTTGTAAGTTACTGGGCTGGGTATCAGAGTTAAACCTGCTGGTTTATATATTCAACTGTGGGGTTGAATATATGCTTTGTTAATGAGGACAAAGCATATAAACAAATGGGCATATAGACAAAGCACTTTTTTATTTCAGTAAGATACACTGAAATAATATTCTTTTTATAAATTATATGACTATAGATGGAAAAATTACGATAGCTTCAAGATCAAGATTATGATTAAAAATCATGCTATTATTTGATGTTTGTGCTGGACTTTGATATATGCCTTTGCAGAGTGATACTGAGGCTGATATTAAAGCCAGCATTAACAGCTTTGCTCCTGCTTGACTTACCTTTGATGTAATATTCATGTTCGTATCTGAGATACTGAGCAGCTGGTCTGATGCTGCTTCTGTGTCACTGCTTAAATTAGAAACCAAGGCCACCGCTGCACAAAAGACAATTGATCTGTAATAATTATTTTATTTCTGTAGCTGGGATGGAAAATCAGCCAATAGCATAAATGGTTTTGGTGTAAATTGATCAAATTTACAGGAAGTAGATATCATAAGGTTTGCACCATGTGGCAAACTCAGTCGTGGGTCAGATTGTTGCTGAACTTAATAATGTTGTTAATTCTCCTTATAGCCTTCCAGATTAGGGCTTCTGTAGTTAGTGAAGTTTAGTTGGTAGGATTAAAGCATTGTAATCAGTTACTGAAGTAATATTGTCTTGTATTTTCAGTTTGATAGTGTTCTGCATTTAACTGTGTTGGTTATGCATGCAGCAGCAGGCCTGGGTGTAACACAAGAAGAAGGTGCTGTCAAGGGAAAATGAGCCATCACCTCACCTTTTGTTAACACAAAATAGCATTTGATGCGCAGTGGCTACCATAGTTATTTTGCATGTTTACAAACGATCATATTATACAGTGCTTACATCAACGGTCCTGCATCCAACTTATTTAAATGAAAAATAGGGACTTTAATGTTACAAGCCAGTGTGCATTTCAGTCACATTAAAACTAACTATATAGTAATAGAAAGTACCGCCAGCATCACTGCATGAGCATAATTGTAACAAGTTGTAGATGACAAGAGGTAAATAAGAGAGCAAGTGGGAAGGAAGGAAGGAAGGGGGGAAGGAAGGAAAGAAGGAAGGAAGCCAGGAGGGGTTAAAGTACTTTTCAACAATGGCTCGCTTTCTTCAAAGAGACAGAATTGTTGAGCTTCCATTTCATTCACAAAAAGACTGTGTGTGTGTGTGTGTGTGTGTGTGTGTGTGTGTGTGTGTGTAAGAGAGATGATGCAGGGCACAATTCAGACTGGTGATTGCCACCGTGTTCACCATAAATAGACATACCACACTGCAGTGTCTGTTTGTGTCTGATGAAAGAAGAGCGAAGAGAGAGCAAGAAGTTAGAGAGCGACAGGGACTCTTATGTGGATAAAATGGTCTCTTTGTCAGAGCTTATACACAGGTTTGTGGGGAAAACGCAGCCCACTGTATTCACTACTGGGAATTACAGCTGCTCTGCTTGTCTCTATTGTGCCTGCGAAGCAATTTTTCCAAATAAATATCCGTTGTATGCTATGTTAAAGCCTCAGATCTTTGGTAATGATAAATCTGTTATAGAAGAGACGTATTAATACCAACTGCAATTGTGTCATTGACACTGAAAAGAAATGTAGCAGGACTGTATGCTAGCAAGCTTGACACTAAAGCCCAGTTCACACGACTGAATCGAGTCAGATTATTAGCATTCTGTGAATAGAGTAACTGTTAAAAATATTAATATATTATCAATAGATAACATGTACAAGAGTGCATGCAAAAATGCATGCATTCTTGTACAATATAAAATCCTGTCTTCCTTCTCTCACCCCAACTGGTCACTGCAGCTGACCACCCCTCCCTGAGCCTGGTTTTGCAGGAGGTTTCTTCCTGTTAAAAGGGAGTTTTTCCTTCCTGCTGTCGCTAAAGTGCTTGCTCATAGGGGGTCATATGATTGTTGGGTTTTCTCTGTATGTATTATTGTAGGGTCTACCTTGAAATATAAAGCACCTTGAGGCAACTGTTGTCGTGATTTGGCGCTATACAAATAAAATTGAATTGAATAAAAATTATGTAGTGTATGCACCTTGGAGCTTCAGCAACATACATACAGTTGGCTTCTTTCTTGAGTTATTTACAAGTTTCTACATCAGAGAATAAAGTTATGTTGAAACCAAGCACACCATTGTTTTTCTTGTGACATTACCAATAAGTTTGATGTGTCACATGGTCCTCTTCCTATTGAAAAAACAAAAGTTGTATCCAAGATGGCCGACTTCTAAATGGCCACCATGGTCACCACCCATCTTGAGGAGTTTGCCCCCTCACATATACTAATGTGCCACAAACAGGACTTTAATATCACCAACCATTCCCATGTTATTACGGTTTATCCATATAAATGGCCCACCCTGTAGAAGATAAGATCAAAGTGTATATGGACTGCTGTGTGTACCTCCAGTTATAAAAGAGTACAGTTATCTTTACTGATGTGTCTTTGTTGTGATAACATACCCGCAGATTACTGAAAATTCAAACTGATCCCAACAAAGAGCCAGATACAGCATTCTATCTACTCAAACATTTATTTATTTTTTATTTATTTAAAGTGATATGTCGAGTTGATAAAGGAGAACAAACAAGTGCTCGTGGTAGTTTTCAAAGCATTGTTTTTAGGGTAATTTTGCTTGTATGACAAAGAAGATAACTCTGATAACTCGTTCTGTGCATATATCTCCATGCGGTTCTTATGCGCCAATCCCAGCTGTTTGTGATTTATTTCATCAGGCGGCCTCGCTGCGGTTGCGTTAAAACTTCTGACTCAAAGGTATTTTCATAAAAAAATATTATGTCTTTGTCAGCTTTTATTTCCATGGAAATAAAATAACATAAGGATTAGGTTTCAGGATTTTTTTTGTTTGTTTTTTTTCTTTTGTTTTTGAGGATAACATGTAATAAATGAATTTGAACGAGTCTTTTCATTCACACAGTTCAGTTAGCATCAGTGTTGGTGTGTATGTGTTTCTGTCTCTGTATTCTATCCTTTTTATTCTGACGGCTTTGTCTAAGCTTCACCGCCATTCAGATTAGAACTCCGTGTGTGTGTTTGCCCTCTGGTATTTGTGCCAGCTGAGTTCATAGTAAACACCCCTATGCTGTCCTTATTTGACAGAGGTTAGGTGGATGCCAGGACACCCCTCCCCCACGCCTGTGTGTGTGTGTGTGTGTGTGTCATAATACTTGCAGTGTTTGTGTATTTTTGTGTGCTTATCCTTGGGTGGGTGCTTATTTGTAACAGGATTAGAAGTTAAGGAGAATTTCTGAAACATTTTACCGTTTAGGTGGCTGGATTCTCGCCTGCTGTTGCCAAGCCCATCAGTTCCCTAATTTAAATTCTTCACCCTTTCTCTAATGTTTTTGTATTCTGTCCTTTTGACAACCTTTACTCTTGTTCGATGTAACCAGAATTGCCAGATGCTCACTTTGTGGACCAAACATGTTAAACAGAGGGAAATGGTGTGGATCCAAAACTAAAAGCTTGATCTCCCAGCTTCATCGTCATGAATCTAATGGGCTATTTCCTGTCTAAATAGTAAGTGCAGTAAGTGCTGCAACAGTATTGGTCACCAGAACCACCTTGACATATATCTCACCAAATTGGAGTATTAGAAGTCTCAATTGTGTTTAAGTGGTTGGTTGGCTGGTTTATGAATAAGCCTGCTGGGAACCTCTGGGCCTCCACCACAGGGGCACTCTGCTGCTCGCTTATTGCCAGGGAACAGGACCGGTGTTGACCAAAACTTGTTGGATTTTAATTAATTGCCCCCATCACAGTTTGCCTTTCTTTCTTTCAGCCTTTCTCTCTTTGCTCTCCTCTGCCACTCTGGGCACTTCACCACATCCAATCACTGACTTTACAAACAGCAAACTTTCTTTTGGTAAACTGCTGCTGCCTGCCAAGTGCTGTGGGGTGGTCAAGATGTTCCTTTGATGGTTGGTTGTTTTTTGTGGAAAGCCTTAATGATTCCATCCAGTCCTCAAACTTGGCTGGAAACCGGTTCAATCATGTTCTGGGCTTTAGAATAGCTTCTTTGACGGCTGGTGCCAAACTTGACCAAATTGTGCCCATTCACGATTGAGTTATTTGGATGTCTTCACCACAAGGAGTGGTTCAAGACAGTCCTGGCTTGTGACTGGATGGACACCGGAGTGTAGCCAAAGCCTAATTAATTACAGTCAGTTAAAAGAGATGAAAGCCTAGTAAAACCTAGTTAGCTAAGCAGTCAAGCTTATTGAATTGCCTTTTTAAGCCTCAAGTAGTAGTATTTGTTGTTGTCGTTGGTCTCTGCATCACCCAATCATTTGATTATGTAACGCTGCTTCTGTGGTTGCAGTCCAGGGTGCAATTACAGAAAGTTCACTTTAAAATTAGTTGTTTACAACTTCCAGGGAAACAACCAGTATTCAAGATGAAGTGTGTGTTTTCTGAGTTCTATTTAATTTACAGTCAGCCATGACATATAATTGGTCTCTTAAGCTCTAAAGTACATAAATATTTGCTATCCTTGTACCTTTGATCCAAAGATGTATTTAAAAATTAGAAAGGCTACAGCTGAATTACAAAAGTTCCCTGTCTTTTAAAAATTGCACATGCTATAAATACTAAACAATTAAAAAAAACTGCATAATGTGATTAGACTAAATTAATTGTGCATAAAACGTAAACAAAACAGTTTTTCTGTAGCTGTCAGATTGCAGCCTCATCTTTTTGGGCTTCAGCCATGACAGTCTGTCTCTTCTTGGCAGTCGCAGCCTGTCTGGCAATCACACTGTCTGTCTGCCCAGTTGAGCTCTTCATGGGTAATCGTTTACTATGGCGCAGAGTCAAAGGTATAATATGGGCCAAGGCATTCATAGGTCAGTGGAATGCTTCAGCAGTGACTACAGTGACCCATGGGCTCCAACTTCAGATAACATAAATACTAACTGTAAAAATATTTACCAGTATTTTTAGCATTTCTGAAAACGTTATCTTCAATAATTTAAATTACAATCAGGTGCCCCTTCAATTAGACAAATATCCAGATGCTCATTTAAAAGAGAAACTGAAACTGGAGTGTTTATTGAACCTTTTGTTTAATTAAAAAAAAAGAAATTAATGATCAGTTTAATTTGTATCATTTTTGCTACCATTGCTGGCATTTTTGTGTAATTTACTGCAATGTGTTATTTTGCGATTTATTTATGGTTTTTTTAGGGGTGAAAAAAACTTCTGACAAGATGTTACATAAACTCACAAAACCCATGTATCAAATATGGTATTTATGAATCCCTTGTGGCAGGACCATTGTATTGTAATGTAAAACCAGAGATTAGCCACTTCAGGAAATGTTGACAGTGATCTTATTTTCTAATACAATTTTATCATCATCTATCATGGTTTGCCTAGTCAAAGGGATCAGATTTTGTCAGAGGATTCACGGCCATCTGTCATTGTATATCATGTTTAAAATCCAAAGCAGACAAATGCAGGTCAGCGGCAATCTGTAGTAAATAATATGTTTTGATAGTCTATAATTAGAAAGCAATGTAAGGCTCTAAAACGTGTGCGTGCAAACCCAGGAATTCCCAAGCAACCGTCTCATCGAGTCAAGAGTCATTATAAGCAGTAAGTCTATTCTGTTCTGCACCACTGCGCCGCACTGCCTGCAGCTTCTGTCGGGCAGCATGAATAAGGAAAAAGGCACTTAAATATCTAACATTAACCGCGTCATCTGAATGAAAAGACCAGAGACATGACAGGTTTTTCTGCTTGCCAACTTGAAGCGATGCAATGGTAACCTGGGATGGAAATATTTGGGGCTTACATTACATCGCCCTTAGCTACTTTTATTGCTGACTTTCTCAGATTTCATCTATGAAAGTTGGTAATGATGCCTTAACTATTATCTAAGGTACCACACAGGAATTGCTTTCCTTTAACTCCTAACTTGATTTTGCTTCTTTTTCATAATTTCTTTGTAAAATGTTTTGATGTGTCTTTTATTCTATCTTCCATTGCAGTCATACTGACAGATGAAGAGGTTCAACGGAAAAGGGACATGATAATGAAGAGAAAAGAGGAGGAGGCAGCCCGAGAGGCCATGAGGCCCCAGCTGAATGAGGAACAGGCTCGGATCATCTCCTGCCTGGTGGAAGCTCACCACAAGACCTACGATGCCTCCTATTCTGACTTCACACGCTTTAGGGTTAGTCCTGTGAAAAGTTACTTTCTTTCTTCACACCTGCCAGAGGTCCTGGGTTAAAATCTGAGACAAGCCCCCACTTGTTAAGTTCTCCTGAAAAAGTCCAAGGGGTGTGGGAAAGTAAAAAGTGTCCGGTTTGAAAAAAAGAGACATGGAAGGAAAATTGTTAAAGTTTTAAAAAATGAATAATTAAACTTAAAGAGATGGACGAGCTGCTATCGCCTTCAAAAGAAAGAAAACATAACAAAAGCCTCTCTGGCACTCTGGCGTCATGGGCCACATAAAGCCCAGTTTGACCTTAAGATGGGATAAAGGAAAATCTCCTCTCTTTCAGTGCAAAGATGTTTAACTACACATGAAATCACTGAGATGTGCAATTTTAACTGCATGTCTCAGGTTTCGACATGAAAAATGTGCAAAATTACAGAAAAAAGTAGCTCACTGCCCAGAGTCTCCTGTATTTCTAAAACATAAAGTTTCTATATTTCTATAGATGGTTAATGACAGAAACATTTCTGTCATGTAATTGTTTATGTACTACTTAGTTCAGTTGATTTAGCATGAACGACCATGGGGGAGGAGAAACTGTAAAACTTACAGTTAAAAGTCCAAAAATGTATGCCCCTCTTTCACGTTTTCCAGCCTTCCAGTGGGTCTGACTGGAGTCTTTGCTGGGCTGACTCTGGTCCGGAGGCCTTATGTTTGACACCCCTGCACTAGCGCTCTCTATTCTCTGGTCTTAATTGCTGAGTAGAGTCAGCTGTAGAAAAAGGCTAGCACCTTACCCACGACCATACAGGGTAAAACCACAGCAGGCCCTACTAGGACAGTGACAGCTCACTTTATGATTAGTGGAGCAAATTCATTTTGTTTTCCAAATGACTATGGGTGTACCAGGTGTCATGTGTCATGACCTGGTACACACAGGGTGAAAGCATGGAATCAGATCTGTCTTTTACTTTGTGCCTAATGAATATGATTAGATTAAATTTGTCTGCAGTAAAACATCAGGAATTGCTGCAATGTGTTAACACCACAGCAAGCCCCATTCATTATTACTGAGCGTTAACTCTTACACAATTACACTGACTTGAGCTGGACATGTATATGTGAGGTGACATACTTTAATCACAGTTTCCACTTATGCATATTTTTCACAGAAAATAATTATAAGTAACAATGAAGCAAATATTTTTGAATGAGTAATGAGAATTTGAGAACATGATTTACAAAAATAGAGCTAATAGAGCAACAGTGTTGTGCCATGTGTGCCGACCAGGTTAGCTGTTTAATAGTTCACTGTTGTTGAAACGTGGGCTTTATTGAAATTCATCAAAGTGTTCTTCAGTGATCAGTGATTACATCAGCTGCTGGTGAGGCAGGGGCTGTTTTTGCTTGTTCTTTGTTTTTTTTTGGTAACCCCAGTACATACAGGAAATTTTCAGAACACGGTGAACACTGTGCGGCAAACCTGACATTTCTAATTCTATTATGTGAAGCTTTATTACTTTATTATTGCGACTGCTATTCTGAGTAAAACCTCAAATAGAAAAAGAACAGTTCCAGCACTCCCTGCTCCTGTGACACAGACCTGTGGTGTGTTGTGATTACTTGGACTTTTGGAGCCCATGAAAACAAGCCCAGCAGCACTGGGTAATATTAATGCTTGTGTGTGTGTTTGCAGCCCCCGGTACGCGAAGGCCCGGTTACACGCAGTGCCAGCAGAGCTGCCTCTCTTCACTCACTCTCTGATGCCTCGTCTGACGCATTCAACCACTCACCTGGTGAGACAATAAAGGGTCCCTCTTCTCTTGTGTGTTTTATCAATCAGGGTTAGGACACAAGGACCCAGCTGTGAAGAGATCTGTTGATTAAAAATAATAATAACTAAGCTCCATTTTGCGGTTGTATCACACCAGCTGCATTGTCAGTGAGCTCCTGGATCATACCCACTGTGGAAAACAAACAGACCCAATAAAGGAATACTCATATTTGCAGTTACAAGAAATATGAGGGGTGCTTCTGCCCACTGTTAGTCATATACTGAATCACTGATGCTCCACAGTGAAGCTGTAGTGATTGTACTGATCTTGAGCTGCTGTGTGTCAATCTTTTTTAGAATTTGTTGCTTCTTTGCCATATCGGCCAAACAGAATACACTTAATACCTTTCATTAAATTACTTAAGTCTTTGGTGCATTTATTATTTAAACCCATCGGTTCAAGGTGAACTCACTTGCCATCTCCGCTGTGTAACCGGTAACTTGCTCTTTGCTATTTCTGTCCGTTCTAAATGTTTTCTTGTAATCCCTCCCTTCCTTCCCCACCCTGTTCCCTTTTCCCCCCCTTCCTCCTTTATCAACTTGTCTCCTAATCCCCTCCTTGAGCAGAGTCAGTGGACACCAAAATGAACTTCAGCAACCTGTTAATGATGTACCAAGATGGCGCAAGTAGTCCAGACTCCAGTGAAGAGGACACAAAACTTTCCATGCTGCCCCACCTGGCTGACCTGGTGTCCTACAGCATTCAGAAGGTTATAGGCTTTGCCAAGATGATCCCAGGCTTCAGGTACCAATTAAAGCCTCTAATGAGATTTGCCAAGAAAGTACATTAAAGCATTTTGTTATTTTTGTAACTAATATTTTTAAAAAGATGGATTCATCTAATTTGCCATAATTTACCAACAGTTGCTAAACACTATATAATGTTAGCTTTATTTGGGTTTACGTGGGTCCCAATGCACCGATAAAATAGCTGATCAGCTATTTCGGTAGATTAATCATTTGATTCACTAACAAAACATAAACATAAATGCTAAAAATTTGGCCATTCTAACTTTCAATATGTACGGATTAACTGAATCTGCTAATTTGGCTCTGGAAGATTCTAAAGAACATTTTCAGATTCTTTTTTCCCACATAGATTTCATTTCCATAGACATGAGACCAATAAAGTGATTGGCAGATTATTCAGTAATCTGACTGAACATATAATTTGAATACTTTGTTGTGAATGTAATTGAAATGTCTTAGAGACAAAGCAGACTGCTTAATCTGATCCAATTAGAGATAAGCAGGAAAATTGCTGGGCTCAGAGGGGCTCTGATTGCTAGACGTCTCATACCATAAAGTCGCTAATATTCTAGCAATCTTATTCTCAATGCCATTAACTAAGTTTCTGATATGTTTTTTTATGGACTCGTTACAGTATATCCATGTTATATTTTCATTTTTAAAATTAAATTTGCAAGAGTTTCAAGCAAACTTTTTTCACTTTTTCACTATGGGCTCTTTTCACCAAAGTTTTGAGGTGGCACATGAATTTAATTAATTTTGAAATAAGACTGTAACATGATAAAATGTAGAACAGGTGAAGCACTGTCAATACTTTCCCGATGCATTGTAAATTCTGGTGCATCCAATGGGTAGCACATAGACGATGCCCCACCCACATGAAGGGCCCGGTTGTTTGCTGGGCATTACCGAGTAAGGCGAGATGCTATTATCAACCCCCAAACAAACATGCTCTTCCAAGAATACTCCAGAACAGGCTGTAGCTTTATAAATACATGCGGAGCAGAGATAAATTTGTAAATGTATGCACATACAGAGACGATGAAATAGAAGAATAAACATGGAATACTGTATCTCTCACATGGGTGTGCATAACGCATACATGTCTGCATCTTGGGAAACAATAATGGCTCATGGATAAGTAAGCTCTATGCTGTGAGGCCCAAATGAAGAAGTTTGGGATTTCTTTGTCAACTTTCTTTTTTTCTTTTCTTTCTGTAGGCATAATTATAGAAACATTTAAATAGTGTTTAGATCCTTGGTATGTAAAAACAAAGGAAAAAAAAATCTGATTTCATTCAGCAGTGATGGCATGAACATGTAGATAAAAGGTCTGTGGTTCTCTTACATTTGCATCTGCTTGCATCAGTGAATGCAGATGCACATACTTTTAGTTCTGTTTGCAAAGATCTCTGTTGCTAAAGTACCTGTTAAATACATTGTTTTATTTCTTGTTCTACTATCTCTCTACCTCACAGACGAACAGTTATTTGTGTATATAGGTGGTTAAGTGGAACTCGTCAGATGGAACAGGGTCATGTGTATTCTGGGGACGAGAACGTTTTGGGTTTTTTATTGGCACGCTTAATTTGCATCAATTAAAATGTAAAGTTTGTTTGCAGCCAGTGTTTGTTACCGTGCACGTGTACCGCTATATAACAGTACAATCTGACCCATTTCCAAACTTACTACATGCACTATTTCTTTCTTTGGCTTTTTGTTTTTAAACAAAACACTTTACAGTTAAAACTGTATTTTAAATATATTTACCCATGATTAATTCACAATTTATGATAATCTATTATTATTTTATTTGCTCTTGTATGGGTTATTCATGAAGTTATACATGTATAACTTTGTATGGTTAATGCATTATGAAGGCACTATTTCTCTCAGGGCTTCAAAAAGTAAAGTAAACCAAAGAAAACACCTTCTTCTTCTGTCCCAGGTCCAGATTCACTGATTTGACAGTGCTTGTGCCTGACTGAACCAGTGTAGTGTGACTCATGCTTTTATCTGTAACTGTGTGTGTTGTACAGAGACCTGACAGCAGAGGACCAGATCGCTCTTTTAAAGTCAAGTGCCATTGAGATCATCATGCTGCGTTCAAACCAGTCATTCAGTCTGGAAGACATGTCCTGGAGCTGTGGAGGACCTGACTTTAAGTATTGCATCACCGATGTGACAAAGGGTTGGTTTCCTCTCATTCATGTAGCAGCTGCACAGTAAAACTAAAGCATCGGTGACTGCATTTCATGTTTACAGTATGTATTTTTAAAGAAGCATGTACAGAGCGTGTAAGAGACCATGCTTATCTGTTATATATACTCTTAAAACATGGACTCCTCTTCTTGAGTCACTGCTCTGGAGGCATTGGTGAATAATAGCTTTACACACTCCCAGGTATAGAGTGTTAATTGTTGAAGCTGGTGACACAGCTGGGATTATTTTTCTCCCAGTTTATATAACAGTCTTACAAGGATCCCCCACACTCGGCTTTTTACGCACACTTGCACATTACTGTGAGGTTTCAATTTCAGGTATTTTCAGCCACAAGCGCACACTCTGTGCTTATTCACTGGTACATGAAGGGCAGGTAGCGATGTTCTCTGTCCGCAAAATAGAAATACACATGGAGACCAGGTGTGTTTTCATTCATAAGCACAATGTACTAACAGTGAGTGTGTGTCATCCTTCACAGCGGGTCACACTCTGGAGCTGTTGGAGCCGCTGGTGAAATTCCAAGTCGGTCTGAAGAAACTCAACCTGCACGAGGAGGAGCACGTGCTACTGATGGCCATCTGCCTGCTCTCCCCAGGTACTGCCGCTGCTGTTTGCGTGTTCGTCCGTGCCTTCATTGTCTTGGAGTATTTCCAGCTGAGCCATGCTTTAAAGATTGAGAATAGAGATTAGAGATGGTTAGTGGTTCGTTTCACTACTAACAACACCGTATCATCAAAGTGTGAACAGCATGGCGCAGGGTGTGTGTCGCATTCTCTTTCCGACCTAGATTCCTCCTATAGTCGTGTGCTGCCAGTAACACAAGAAAAAGCTTTTCCTGGAAGACCAAATGTGCTGTTCAGTACATTAAAGCATGAGGTTACAAAACAGCGTGGGAAGCAGAAGTTTGCATGCTGTAAGTGACAAGTTTGAACCAGTGAATGAACATTAGGAGTATCAAATCCCTGAATCACAGAAAGAATCTGTCAAGCAGCAGGGTCATTTGTAGAGAATGTACACCATTTCAAAAACAGTTTGTTTTGTTTTCCTTGAGACTCGAGAGCCTCAGGGACACACTATTTGTATCAAAGCAACAGCACTTAGAAAGCAGCCGCAGTTAGAAATTAAATTCTTTGAGGGAGGGAACAAAATCATTAGTTCTGTCCTTGTTCTCTGTTGCTATTATGTTGAAAGTAATCCAATATAAACTTGTTATCTACACATCTTTAGTTACAGTACACACTCTGTGGTGCAGATTTCTAAGCACACAGAAAAGAAAAAGGTTCAAAATATATTTATCCAGTAATAAGAAAGACTAACAGTGACAGACGTGATCAAGACCCAGAACATCCCATCACCATGGCCCTTACACGTCTCAGACACTAACTGATAGCAGACAGTGTTCTTTTTATAAACCTGTTCATATACAATACTGTGCAATACTGTGAAGTCTCAAGGCAAGCTTTCTTTCCTATTTTTTTTTTAAATTTCCTTTATAGTCGTTTCTGATGATTAAGGACCTTGAAGTGCACTTTATACATTTTTTGTTCTTTACTTCTTTGCTTTAAACATATTGAGTCCCCCTGCTGGTGATGCAGCTTGTGCATGTGTGTCCATTTCATGTTTTAAAGAGGCAAAGTGTGAAATGGACTCGACGTACCGGCGTGTCTGGGGTGATGGGTAATATCTTCTGAGGAATCACTTTGTTGGTGCTAGAATTATGTAGGCCTTTTTTATGCTTGAATGCTTGATAGGTCATTATGATTGGGTTAACTATCAAACTTACAAGAAAATGTGAGGGATGGCTCAAAACTTTTGCACAACATTTTATACAAAGCAGGTAAATGTTTTCTGTTAGAGCAGCAACATTGTTGTACAATCTATGAAAAAACTGTTTATGGTTCAATTTGAAATGCACACTAGACAGCTGATGCATTTTTCTTGAAGAGACAGTAAGAGCGTCTGTGCGTCAGCTGTCTCTGCTGAGTGCAGAGAGGATATTACAGAGTGAAGATAACAGCAAACATTCCTGAAAAGAGACATTCTCCCACGTCATTAATCACGTCTTGTACACGTGTATATAAAGATCCTAAAGTCTGAGTCAAGCATGAGGAGCATATTTAACACAGAAATGAGACAGAAGTAATAATAATAATAATAATAATGGATTGCATTTATATAGCGCTTTTCGGCAACAGTGTTAAGTAATTGATATGATAATTACATTAATTTTATGATCAAATCAAACTTTTTATTAACAGGGAGCATGATACCAGCCTACATGTCTGTAGGCTGGTAGCATTACTACTTAACATTTAAATTCAGTATTTTCAAAAACAAAACAATTAAATGTTCTGAAATATGTTTTCTTTCTCGTTCCATCCACCCACACCTCCCGTCTCCAATCTCACCCTGCTGCTCCCTCTTTAATTTTCTCTGTGCTTCTGTCTGATTCTGCCTTTCTGTCCACGCCCCCACCTCGTTTGTTGTGTGACCTTGCTCACGATGGGCTATACTCTCCACTCCCTCCACCCTCTTTGTTCTCCCATGTCAGATCGTCCCGGTGTCCAAGACCATGCCCGCATCGAGCAGCTCCAGGACGACCTGTCCGAAGTGCTGCAGGCCTACATCCGAGTCAACCACCCAGGTGGACGTCTGCTCTACGCCAAGATGATCCAGAAGCTGGCTGACCTGCGCAGCCTGAACGAGGAGCACTCCAAGCAGTACCGCTCGCTCTCCTTCCAGCCCGAGCACAGCATGCAGCTGACCCCGCTGGTGCTGGAAGTGTTTGGCAGCGAGGTGTCATAGCGGTGGAGGAGGCCTGCGTGTATGCATTCACACGCTCGTAACACAGAGGATGAGTAACGAACCCCTGCTGCCTTTTCCCCAAGAACGCCACTGCCCTCATAAAAACCTGGGCATGTGGGAGAAAGATGGATATTCTGACAGGTAGACAGTAATCTTCACCTCTTCATCATCTCTTCATCCTCCTAACCTCAAGCTACAAGACTCAGACAACTGGACCTCTGGATTTACAAAAATGAAACACACTAAACAGGTTCTTGCTTTCTGTTGCACTTGGATAATCAGATTTTATTTTTGCTTCTGGAATTGCAAACACTGTACAGAATCAGATTTCATTACATCACTCAGATATCCAGACTCTTTGACATCCTGGTCCTCTCTCCATCCCCAAACTCCAAAAATCACCCCTTTATCATGATGGCCTTTCCTCAAAAACTACTAGATTCCTGCCACTTTTCCTGCAGTGGGATGGACACAAATGTCTCATCCTCTTTGTAACATTGCTCCATGTTCACGCCATTGCCACAATACACAGGAGCAAATGCACAGATTTACTTTCATTACCCATGCTGGGTGATAAACTCGGTTTAGATAGCTATTAACTCTTGTTGGTTTACAGTTTTCAAAAGCAAAGACATCCAAATATATTAAATATCAGAAGCCATCGGCAAGCTTACAGTAATCTCATAGAAATACAAAGTGAGAGTGGAGCAGGCGTGTTTCCCTGTGAATCTGTGCATGTAGTCTCAGATAGTGTAATAGACTGAAGAAGGACATTTAAGTAAGAAAGCGTCAGGATGGGAATGGTGGGAAGGAAGGAGGAAACGAGGTTGGATAAATGGAGGGAGGTGCTACAGATGATGGAATTCCTTTTTCACAGGACAAAAAGGAATTTAGTAAAAAAGAATGTATGTATAAAGCTATATAAATATAAATGATACGTATAAGCTGACATATATGGGAAAACATGGTTGCTTCCATGGAAGCAAATAGTTCTGACTATTGTACCATGTAGAGGATTTGAAGGCCTCTCCTCTGTTGTGTGTGTGTGTGTGTGTGTGTGTGTGTGTGTGTGTGTGTGTGTGTGTGTGTGTGTGTGTGTGTGTGTATATGTCATATTTCAAAAGGCAATTACACACACACACTGAGAAGCGTGTGAGGAGTCCTTTTATTTGCGAGATACGTGTACAGAGAGGGAGAATATTGATGGACCACTGGGGGGGGGTGTGTACAGGCTCTGACTGAGGGTCTAGTGCAGGGAAGCATTTTGGACCTGTGAAGTTTGTAGAGTGACATACGCAAACACAACTTCATGTTGCATGGATAGTGACTATCCAAAAGTATTTGTTCAGCTGGTTAGATTGCTGCTAAGACAGAGCTGCGTAGTTGGAGAGAAACCAGCTACCAGCTGTTGCCTCAGGGAAAAGTTTGTCTGATCATATTGTGTACTTGGTGTTTACGATGTGTGCGGCGTAAGCGTACAATCATGAGACCGAGATTGTTTTTGAAGCTCTAGGCATCACTGTGATTTCTAATCATACTAAATAACAGCAGGAGGAAGCTAAAAGAGGGACATTTTGAAATAATAGTTAATGCGAGACTTTGTTTTCTAAGCTTATCTGATCAAAGAAATTACATTAGAGGTCATAATTAATACATTTCAAACGCAGACTCATTGGTGTGAAAGTATCTGCCTTAGCTTTAGTTTGTCTGATTGTTTTTTTCCCCCAAAGTCAGAACAGTAGCAATATACAGTAGTTTAATGTTGTGAATGAAATCCTGAAGATGCTCTTAGTAGCAGAGTAGCGATACAACGCACGAGAAAGATTTTCTTTATTTGTAAAAAGGTAAACTCAAGCCTCATATCTTTTTATCACATTTGTATAATTTTAACACCAGCCACATAAGCGAGGTTTAGAATGTTAATTTTCAACATCACTACATATCATACATCACATTTCTGTTGACACAGTGTTTGCTCACCCTCATGCAGACCTGGACCACCCCCTTGTGGACAAACTTTGTAAATACCACTTGCTAATTCTGTACATATTTAGAATTTAACGTAGGATAATATAGGAAGAGAATTCACTTGTTAATGGCGAGATGCTCTGCTATATGCAATTAGGAGTTGAACTCTTATGTTTTATTCTGCTAGAACGGACAGACATGGCAGTTCTGGACAGGTTGCTGAGCTGTTTCAGGCAGAACCGGAGAAGACTGCTGGCTTTTTTTCTTTTTGACATTAAGTGGAAAGAAATGTACCTGTTTTATATGAGTAAAACACCACCACAGCTAAATGAATTCCTACTGAATTGGCCTATATAGTCCCAAATAGTGGACAAACATCAATGAGACTTCGAAAAAATGTTTTATAATTACAAACACTTCATATGATTAAACATTCCCAGTGGCATTTGTTTTTGAGCATTCCATCTACACAGTATACACACAGTTGGTGTAAGCATCCTAACACACTGGCGGCCTTTGAAACATGCCCAACAGCTCAGTAACTTCTGGCCAGTAAACGTCTTCTCTGTCCATTTCAGGCTTATGGATGTATGTCTTTTTCTCTCTCCTTCTAAAGTCAATCGATAAGCTTCTGACAATTATACAGTATATTCATAATCTTTTCATTTTGGTGAACATCTGATTTTATTTACTGATTTAATTTTGTTCCTTTCAAGACTGTCACTTGTATTGCGTGTCAGAGTTTGCCGTCTTGCTGGCGCTTGGCTTGCTGCGCTGCAGTGTCGTTTTAGTGAAGCAAAGATGAGCAAAGCGGACTCCTGGAGCCGTTTTCCAAGAACAAGCTTCTTCTTCCCTTTTTTTCCCCCTGATATCAAGTGAGTGAAGATGGAATAGCTTTTTCTTAACTCACATAGTGGCTTCATCCTCACATACGGGGAAGGGAAGGAACACTGACACTGATTTTTGTTAATGGAAGGAAAGAAGTCAGTGTCGCTGTTTTCCACCTGGAGCTGGATCATTTCTTTGTGAACGGAGAGGCAGTCCCCAACTCTGTATAGAAAAACAAAAACATCTCCTTCTTCAAACCCTCATGTGATAAACTAACACTGCCTCAACTGACTTTCACAGGACTTAACCAACGCAAACTGTTGCAGCTACAGCATGGGCGTGCCTCTTTTTTCATCAACCATCTAACCACCTCAATAACCAGTTACAGCAGGATTACTCTTCATAGCTTTAACTCAGCAGCGAGTCAAGCTCTACTTTGGAAAACTGTGGTGCACCAAGGGCTGATGGGAGTGTAAGTTTTAGGGGCCACAACTGCTGTGGAATTGTACAGGTCGCTCAAATGTGGAGATGACAACCGAGAATGGCTCCTCTGTCCGGCTCGACCCAGGAAACCTTTGGAGTGGACCTCTAGAAGACTGTGTAGAATCTGTATAGAGGATTAAAGGAGATAAAAGACTTTTTAAAATTGCCACAGATGTGCAGACTTAGTGACACACTGTGACACTGACTGACTGATACGTCGCCTGTTAAAATCCAAAGCGGGATGTTACCTTTGTCACTGCTCTGCGTCTCGCATCGCAGCTGTTTAAATTCAGATTTGTTTTGTTTTGTTTTAAAGTAATCGTCATTTGCTAAAGAACAGTTGTTGACAGACTTTTTACATTTACATCTACATCATCTGTTTCAAAAGAAATGAAGGAGAGGGTGATGGTGCGAGAGTCTGCTCACTTGTAAGGATTCCCTATTTAACTTTGCTATGCTGCTGCTGGATGCTGACTCCTCTCTGGAGAAGCCCTACTTGCCATTATTAATGTATATATTTAGGGTTAAACATGAAACATCTGGCTTATACATTTTAACCTAATAGTTGTAGCTGATGCTAGAGGCCGTTAGCGTTCAAAAGAATCCAAACAATGCACAAGTCTCTCGCACCATTACCCCTCCACCCTTCAACCCAGGTCAGCAGCTCCACCTCGGTAGCCTTACTTACAGCAACCTCACTCAGCTGGAAACATTTAACAGATACCTCAGTAATGTACAGGACAACTTTTCACAATAGCCTTCAAGGGAACCAAACATAAACTCATACCACAGATGTACTCAGCACACACCAATACAAACACACACACTACAACTCTCTCCTCAGCAACCTTTGCAGTGTTCATAAGATATACAGGAAACTAGTTGCCAATTGTTGTAAAAAGGTTGTTAGGTAGAATCCTGTTGTGAGTAGGCCAGTGGATCCCAATGTTTCTCAGTGTTAACTTTCACACTCTCGTTGTTTTTCTCTTTACTCACTTGCTGTCATCACTGCTTTGCTCTCTTTTTTCTTCGGACTTTGTCGTCTCTCTGTCTCTGTAAACGAACGACGCACCGCTAAGCTTTAGCAGTGCGTTTAGCCAAACATACTACCTCTCCCTTCTGCACATAAATTTATAAATATATATATTTTTGTCGCAGCATGATTGTGCTTAATATAAAACATCCATTTTTACGTTAACACTCATTTAGAAGTTTTTTGGTGTATATGTACAGTATATTCCTTTTTTATCTCTTTTTTTAAAAAAATGCTGGATGATATCTATTTTTTTTTTTTACTTCAAATTTCTATATAAAATTTTAAACTCACTTAAATCCGAGGCCTCTTTAGCTCCACTTTCTCACCTAAGTGTGTAGATGCATGTTAAAAATGATGCATGAAAGTGAGGCTACATTCAGAGCAGCAGAAAGTGCCAGAATTCTTTTGGATTCTTTTTATGTGTCTCAAAGAGCAGATTTATGTTTTTTAAAGTATTATAATTATTATTATTGTTCTACGCAGGAGAGAAAAAAAACCCCATTTGTTTAGGTAAATATCTAAATGAGCAACTTATTGGTGGAACAGACATAATTTTGATGAAACAGTAACTTTACAAAGTTCCCTTTACCAAGCAGAAGAGCTGACTCGATAGGTGAAGTTTTGTAGACTGAAGCATCGTATAACAGAACTTTGAAATGACTGAGAGGTAGAGCCTGACTGATTTATTTTTAATTGAAAATAGAAATGGAAAGAACAGACAGAAGAAACACCCTTCAGCCATGTTGCGAACGGTGATATTACATAGTTTTTCCACCAGAGGGCACTTGGCACAAACAACAAGCGGATGATCTGAGGTGAGCTGGATAGAAGGTGAACAAGTGAATAAATAACTACACATAACAAATGTTCAGGAAAGTTGTATGTATCGTGCATATGAAACAAAAATAATCAGCCGATATTTTGGATTATTGGATTTTCATACCACTCGATTTTAGAATCGACCTTGAATATCCTGTATCAGTCAGGCTCTACTGCGAGGTGTGCGGGACCTAAAAACAGTTTATAAAAATTCTGAAGAGAGATGTGTCATAAACTCAGCAAAATAATAGTGACAAGTTTAACATTTATGGAAGTTCATTTTCTTGCTTTCATGAAGCAAGTTAGACGTTTGATTGATACCACTTTGCCTCGGTGCAAATATTAAGCGGCGACTTTGTTTCTGTAACAAGATGTAAAGTTATATAAGCTCCATATTTTACCTCCACCCATACAAAGGTTGCTGTTAAAGTGGACCTGTTATGTTTTCCCTATTTGTTTGGGGGGTGGGGCTTGGTATCATTTATATATATACTTATGATGGAAGCTACTCATATTAAATATGGCTGAAGCTTCAAATAATGAATGGCTTATGTACAAGTAATCACTGTGAGCCAAAACCTCAACTCTGTTTTTATACTCCTAGATCTGTATGATGCCTTTGGTCTTGGTGTAAGCTTCACCTAGTTGCTGTACACACTATGTGTGTGTATGAGGGGCAACCAATCAGAAGAAAGTTAGCTTAGGGGGACGGTTCCCTTAGAGGAAAGGAATGTTTCGAACAGGATGAGCTGTGGCGCTGCACCACGGACAAGTATAAGCTAAAATAAGGGATGTTCTTTTTTTATCCTTGAATCATGCCAACTACTCAGTACAGACCAACAATAAAAATATGGGGCTGCAAATAAGCATCACGGGTCCACTTTAAGGTAACTGTCTCCAGGATGTAGCTTTATATTAGGCATACAGACGTGAGAGT